GCAATTCATTAATATAATTAATATATACTTTACTAAGTTGAGCCTAACATCCTTTTCTCCTCCACTTCCAAATCCCCTCCACAACCTATGATATTGTCTCCTACTTAACCAAAAAGACAAATGAAACCAGAAGAGAATTATTTAACACCAATTCCACCAACCTTCCCGCATCTGTAACTACACAATCCTCCTAAGAAAAAGGACAAAGAGTTCCAGTTCCTAATAAAGTACAATACTTCACTTGTGCCCCAGGTCTCAAGCCTAGGATGCCTTTCTAAAGATTTCATTCTTATCTTTCTCTCTTGTACCATTATTTCATTCAGGTGTCTGCTTAAACATTATATCCTCTGAAAGCTCTTCCTAGGCCATCTTATCTAAAATATCTCTTTTCCTAATCATTATTTCTTTTTATCTATGTAATTTTTCATCTTAGCACCAATCAGTACTGGATATTATGTTTCCTACTTAGGAGTTTTAAACTGGTCTACTTCAACGTCAGTCCAATGAGGCCAGAGATTTTCCCTTTCTTATGCACCTCTCTATAGTTAGCATATGAGATAGGGTCTGCGCATACCAGGTATTTAACAAATATTTTTAGTGTGAGAATCAAGCTTTAAACTTCATATGACCACGAGAACTACTGATTTTCTGTCCCAAGATATTATGCATCTCAGTAAAAGACACTAACTACTCTGTTATGCAGGCTCCAAACCTTGGTTCCTTGATTCCTCTTTTCTTTACAGACTATATTCAATCTATCTATCTTGGCATGAATGTCAAATATGACTGCTTTTTATCATTTCATCATTTAGTGCTATGATCCTATGACCATGCTATGAATCTCACACCTGACCACTGTAGCAGTGAACTAATCTCAATTCATATAGGCGTCACAGTGACATTTCGTTTTTCTTTTGGCTGTTGTTGCGGTTCTGGGGATCAGACTGAGGAGTACCCTAACATGAGCAGTATTCCCAGGTCACCCTTCTTTTTGGGGTGAGGTACTGCGATTGAACACAGGGCCTTCATATTGAGCTGCATCCCTAGCCCTGTTCCTATTTTGAGACAGGGTCTCACTAAATCACTAACTACCCAAGGCTGGGCTCAAACTCAAAATCCTTCTACCTCAGTCTCCCAAGTGCCGGGATTATAAACATGTACATGTTTATATGTTTACTATTCCTCTTTCTTCACTAAAAGTCCTTCAAATAGTACTGAACTCATAATAATCTTTTATAAATATTTGTGGGGCTGGCTAATCTAGGTTTTTGATACTTCTCAGAATGCAAGAATTCTTGGGAGCATGATTCCAACATTCATTCTGAAAAGAGATTGCTGAGCATCTATATTTTGTTTGGTTGGGTGGGAGAAAGCAGAAATAAAATTAAATTATTTTAGTTAAATAAACATTTGTTGACCTTTTGATTTATTATATGAACTAAGACATCCTATTCTCAAAAATCTGTAAAGAAGCATTAAGTATACCAACAGTATAGAGGGTTCCTTTTTCCCTGCAGCCTCTCCAACATTTGTTATTATTTGATTTCTTGAGAATGGTTATTCTTTCCACAACCCAGATTTTCTATCTTTACCCATAGGGCAACAAGAAAATATTAGACAGGTACAGAGAAGTGACATGAGTAGATCTATGCTTTTAAAATACTGCTGTTTTGTGGGAAATAATGGAAGAGGAGGTGGGCAACAGTAGGTGTAAGTAAGACTAGTTAAGAAGCAACAATGGATTAACAAAAGGGGATGAGAGCTGTGACTATAAGGATACAATGAAGAAAGTTAAAGAACATGTAGGAAACAACTGGTGGAACTTGGTAAACGACTAAGCAGGGAAAGGTGAAGGGAAAACAGTCGACAACATAAGCTCTCATAAGAATGGTATAGCTGGATGGACAAGATTGACAGGGTATACAGAGAAGAGTAGGATGGAAGAATGAGAGATGTGGGAGGAGAAAATTAGCTCAGTTTGACTGCAAAGTGTCTAAAAACAAGATGAAGATGTTCACTAAGAATTAATGTACACCTTTTGCTTAACCTGTAGAATAACCATGGATTCCAACTATAAATGGTCCAAAATAAGATCCCTGGATAAGGCATCCAGATTTTCTAAAGGTTTCAAAAGAAAAGGCTACTTCTGCAATCTAAAGAATCTAAAACATAAACTTACTTATATCTTTGAGATATCACAGACTTTAAGACTGTATATGACAGTTTCATAATGACCAAAAATCAAACCCATGTGAAAGAAAATTCTCAAAACTTACTTTTCAAGCTCCTCCTGAGAATGGGCAAAGGTACAATTTGTTCCTCGTGGACACCCGCCTTGCTGTCGCAAATCTCGGCACATGCTAGTCTTGTATTTGCTATTTGGCTGAGGCTACAAAAAGGAAAGCATTCAGTATGTGAAAAAGTTTTCACATATATTGTTATTATTCACTCTTAGGACTTCAGAATTTAGTATTTATATCTGAAATTCTTTTTCACATTAGAGAAGTAATTCTTGTCCTAAGAGAATTACCATTCCACTGTTTTCCGTTGTGTGTTATCAAGCATAACCATGAGATGACATTTTACATTCTTTCTGGAGATTGTCTGAAACTGATTCAAGCTTCATGTCTATTTATTTGTCAAGAAACACAATGCCCCCAAAAGAAAAGCCAAATAGAAAAGATTTCTCACTAAATAATTGGTATCTTAAAATTCTGTTACCAAAATAAACTATATTTTAAAAAACCATAAGCAGTGCACTTGGTGGTGGAGTGCGAGATGTCATCCTAGTACTTGCAAGGCTGAGGCAGGAGAAACAGCATGTTCAGGGTCAGCCTGGGCTATATAATGAGCTCAAGGCCAGACTGAACTACATGGCAAGATCCTGTCTTTAAAAAAAAAAAAAAAAAAAAAAAAA